ATGTAAGTATGTATGTAAGTATGTATGTATGTATGCATATATATATATATATAATAAATATATTATATATATATGTATATATATATATATGTTTGTATGCATGTTTGTATGTATGTATCGTTCAGTGTACGTAGCTTGGGATATGCCAATAATACAAGTCAACACATGAAGCCTAACCCACAAAATTGCGCCTTTCGTCGAAAATGGATGCTAGAAAATATAATCTGCACTCTGACTCCAAAACTATCAGGACTTCGAAGTATGTCGCTATCAATCCGGTGGTCGCATCTCCCAACTATCCCTCTGAACCGGCTGGCATATTCGACAATCCTGCCATCTATGAGAAGCTGGAAACGGACACATTATTCTTTATCTTCTACTTCCAGCCGGGGACATACCAACAGTAAGTTATATACTATGCATCTTCTATTTTATGTTCCGATAGATTTCACCAAAATATTAGTATTTTAGACTTGCATAGCTAATCCGTTGCTGCTCGTAATCCAACAGATATCTTGCTGCCCGTGAGCTCAAGAAGCAATCGTGGAGGTTCCACAAACGATACTCCACTTGGTTCCAACGGCATGAGGAGCCCAAATCGATCACAGAAGAATACGAACAAGGTATGTGCGCGTCTGTAATAGTTGCGTATCATCTCGTAAACCATTGCGTATATCCGATTTTATTAATATTCTCTTGGTCTTTGTGATTTTCATATTTCTCATAACGCTTTGCAGGTACATATGTTTATTTCGACTACGAAACGGGGTGGTGTCAGCGCAAAAAAACAGATTTCACGTTCGAATATAGATATCTCGAGGATCAGGACCTGCCGTGAGAAATGAATTACCGTATCAAGATGAACCACGGCTCGCTGGATCCTATTACATTTAGGCATATCGTTGTGTAGTTGCAGCTCGTAAGACCAGATTATGTTTATCTGACGGTGAGAAACGTCGTCTCGGCAGTTTTAAACATTGTATGCCTTCGGACTACTGTCCTGTCCTTTGTGAAAGCCAATACATATTGTCTGACTATCGCGGCTTGGCAAGCTCTGAGATTCGGTCCTGCTAGATTCACTCTGCAGTGTCTTTACAGTAGTGACAGTTTCAATGGACACACTCGGACGGACTTTCAACCTTTACTAAGCGACACCTGGAGATACTCTCATACATACAGATATTTAGCAACGGCCGCCAACCCATCGTTTCTGCAGTGTAGATGAGTGTAACATTCAGACGTCAGAGAACCTAGCCCTTTATTCATATGGCAGACGGAAGTAAGACTGCCATGGTCTAAAGTTCAACTTAGTGCAACGCAACGTACCTTCCAGGGCGCGCGCTCGGTATCAAGCAGTGGTGGTACAGTATACGCGATTTATTTCTTCTGTCGCTTGTTCGCGCCGCCACCGGTGCCGCTGGAGTAATAAACAATTTGAAAAAGTGAAAATCGATTGCGCTGTGGTAATAGCAATGTTTCGCAAGATGCACCCATAGTTGAACAGACAAAGAAAAAGTAAACGAGAAGTAGACAATCATACACACCGAAGTTTTGCTTTCCGAGTGACGATTCCTTCCAATACTATGGGCTCTGGAAGCTCAATAGACTTTACAGTATCGCTGGGTGTGGTCCCTTCGCCAACACTCCCCGTTAACAGCTTTCTAGCCTCGACAGGGGGGTATTTGTGGCCATTTTTGGGATTGTATCCCACGGCCAGAGTGACATGCATTGGGGGTTCTGCACACTCTCTTAGCCACTCAGGCATTGACTCGGGGTCTACGATTAAGGCTGCGGCCTTGGACGAGTACGATATCCTTGAGCAGGCAATCGATACCTTAGAACCCGACCTTTGCAGCAGGTGATTATCCCTCTCCTCAAGCGCAGGTGATACGTCATTCGTCATAAACAACAAGGTCACATGGAATGAGGGCTGTATACAGTACCGCTCCACCGGTAGGGCATCGGCGGATGTGGCAGTCTGCATGGGAGACTCGGTTGCGGGAGTTGAAGAGGCTGTACTACTTTCAAGGCGTGGCCATGCAATAGTCCGTATCAGATTTTGCCCGGACTCTGATATTTGCAGGGACCACGTCAGAGTGGTCGTGTGCTCACAGTTCTGGTCATTCAGTTTAGCCTCGAACTCTTTCGCCTGCGCCAGGGCCGAGGCCACTTCGCTATCATCCGGGATGTCACGTTCAAGCAACTGTGCGTTAGCCAGCTCTGTCAGTATTAACTTACACGCCTCCGTTGGATTCAATAGAATGCTTACGTTGATCACGGCAACCGCTTCGTTTCGCTCCTGCTGAGATAGGGGTGTCCATTCACTTTCGAAACGCGCAAACGCTTGATTTAATATAGGTCCTTCAAATAAGGTTCTGTGTCCGAATTCACGTTTCTCAATACGTTCCCGTGCAACGGCAAGGGTGTGATCGATGTTAGGCGAGTCTAGGTCGTCTGGGTGCAGGAACACGATATACACCAGAGACATTATGCTTTTCAGCGCTCGTCGCATCCCGTTGCGGACGTTAAAATTGTGGTGGCACTTGTCCGCTATGACACCCTGCGGCACCTTCCGCTGGGTTGTATCGGTGAGGGCTGAGTGGTATCTGCTCGCTTTCATGTTGAGCTCGTCTTGGTTGACCCATGGTAACGCAAGAAGGGTGCTCAACGCGCGGGCCTGTGTCGACTTACCTGTGCCCGGTATGCCCATCATAGCCACTTGCAGTTGCGGTTTTCCGATCGGCATTTCAGTCTGAAGGGAGAAATATATCTGTGTGACTACATGCTTTGAAAGATAAAGACTGAAGCGACAGCAACGAATGCAGAAGACAACTGGACATCTAACAGTTCCGTTTACCGTACACACCTCCAACCAGCGCAGCGCGGTTGCTATATGCTCGGCTGACGCACTCTTAAACGAGTTCATACAATCATACCAAAAAGCAAACACCTTTTCCCACGTGGAGGACTTCTCCACTTCCACCCGATACCTGATGGCAGTATTTGTTGCGCACAGATGAATTCAAGTACGGTGGTAAGGTATTCACTGATGACATATAATATTACTCATGACGGTCAAGTGATAGATGAGTGTAAGCTCTCAACGGTTTGTGGATGTTAAATCAAAGACGGAAGGCAAACAGAGATTAGAGGTTTACCTGCAATACGCATAGAACTCGGAGGCCTCCTGCACAAACGCATCGATGTTGGGATGCGGCAGGTACATTTCCGAGCTCAATCGCTTTCGTAAGCGAGACAATGGCGCTCTATGGGTGAGTTATACAATAAGCCAAAATTAACAGATACTAAATTCAAAATTGACAATTACTGAATTCAATAAAAATATAACTGAAGGTGATTGATTCAACAGGCGACCACATATATCAAACGCAGAGCTTGATCGATTACCTTGCGCGCATTAGCTCTCGAACGGCCCTCCAATAGACATACCAAGTATTCTTATATTTGTAGATAAAAGTAGTTTTCCCACCTGTATGTGCCATGGTAGGAACAATTTTTAATACCTTCGCCGGAGTTTACACGAAAGATATCCGAAATCCCGTCCGCCATGCACAAGGTCAACATTCGCCCTTCAGAAGACGGGTATGTATCGAATGAAAGACGTATTTGAAATAAAACGAAGGCACTGCTCATACCATTCTGGGCAGTAGAGGAGACACCGTACACCACCGCACCCTCAGAGTTCTCTCGGTATCGAGCGGAATTGTAAGCCTCCTCCACAGCCGCCTTGTCCGACACAGCACATTGTGTAACATGCGGTACTACCCCAAGACCCCACTGCTGCAGCAACTCCAGACCGGCCACCGGCGACTGTACTGAGAGGAGGCCTTCGCTTTCAGGCCTCACGTCTACGATAACATAGAACTGCGAGTACACGTTGGAATGTGACGCTTGTTAGCTATTGTGGTGTATGTTGACGATGTCGACGGTGATTTCATTTTTCATTTAAAATGCTTCGCAATCAAGTAAGGGTCTATGAGTATACACTACGGGTTTTCGAACACCAGCTTCGGCCTTGTTAACGTACATACCTGCAGCCTGCGCACCGACTGTCCTTCTGCCTCGCTTCGGTCCATATATGACATATCCACAATATGCTGTGAATCAGAAAGGAAAACTTCTCCAACCAGGGTCGCCATATGTGTACAGAGATACAGCACTAACTGTTCCTTCTGCTGAGCGCTCATACGCCGAAGCTGGGTGTACCACTGCCGGGCTATCTTCAGAGTGTATGTGAATCGCAGGTTCTTGTAAATCTGAAGGAATGAAGTCAAAGACATATGATGTTAGAAGAAGGCAGGCTAGTGTACAAGTGCGCCCAGATTAATAGGGGCCTGGTGTATAGCAGGTCACACTGTGACTCAATATCTGTGACCACATGAACCTCAAAATTAAACTAACAAATAGAGATAACTTAATACCTACGCCTGTAGCGCCAAAATCGCACAATAATTACACACATGCTACGTATTCATACATACATGTTTGCATTGTAAATACGTATTAAGCTGACTAAATAAGTCTAGAGTGCAAATGGATATAACACACACCTCATGTTCAATATCGGCCTCGAAATTACAGTCTGTCGCAATCAGTGTTACGTTTTTACTGGCCACCATCCACACCAGCACACCGTCAACCGTTACCGCCGATATCTTGGCATTTTCTCCATTGGCCTTCTCCATAAATACCAAATCCGTCACTTCCGCCGCAGCGCCCTTTAAGAAGTATGCGCTCACATCCTTTTCTTCCCCGAATTTCTGCAGGCCTCTCAGCACGTAAACCAGTTCTCCGGTCTCGGCTGGCAGCGCTTGTTGGGCACTAGTACCCGACACATCCATGACCGCTGCACCTGGGTCAGAGCCAGCAGCCTCACTCGTGTTTAGTGTACTATCGCCGATGGGCTGATCTGCGTTGGTGAGGAAGCAGAGCCCTCGGGGCTGGGCCTGGGGCAGACCAGCGAATTTCTTGTACATGCGGTCGTCTACAGACCGAGAAGATACCTGTACGAGGCCAAGAGAGACGAGATCACAACGAATGAGCGCTGGTACATAAGTGAAGTGAACACCACGTACACTTAACCGGCGAACACAGACAACAATACGACCATCCAGCTTTGATATTACCGGCACTAGCCCAGACTACCTGCAACGGGGGGGGAATAAAAGGGACTAGTTTGCGACAGTAAGCAATGGTCGGTAATATAAACAAGCGATAACACTAAAATGCAATTGAAACCATCTGCTAGTACTCATCTCCCCATTGCACCTCAGAGACGACTTGCGAATTGATGGTGAAAGGCACAAATACGCCCAGGTGTTCATACTGCTCCACACGGACACTCAGTTACAGTCAGAATTGCGGCCCAAAACATGCCGGTAAACAGGACATGTGATCAAATTGACCCTAATAAACTACTACACAGAATATCATAACTTCATCATCATAGACCTATACATTAGCGAAAACCGTTGCGTCTTCACTTCCATCACATCATGTACAGATAGGCACTGCACATTGGTCATGGTCTAAGTATGTATGTTGCAGTATCAAAGGTCAGACACATACCTGACAGTCAGTTAGAACCAATGCAAACGACACTGGCATTTTAGTAGCTCCTGTTTATGGTTTACTGTCTGAGTATATATGTATAGCACAACATCAAGGTCACACGCCAAAACTTGATAGTCGGGCAAAATCAAAGGCCTTAAATTTAGTAGATGAGACAGATTCTGCTTGCATACTCACCTTTTCACACCATTCAGAGATACGAACAGCACAGGCAATTTGGTAGGTTCAGTATATTGTCCACTGTCTGAGCATATGTGCATACATACCACAGTAACAAAGTTTTAACTCCTACCTGACAATCGGTCAGAACCAGGGGTCGTACACCTTCCAGATGCGACACAGTGGTGTTGGTACGCCTGATTTCGCTGTTGAATTCGAAGTTTGCCTTTCGCAATGCATCTGCCCATGTAACAGCGCTGGCTGTCGGCGGAAGCCTGAGCTCAGGGCTCTCCATTGGGTCGTTCATTATTAATGATTGATGGATGGCGTATTTGTGAGTCCTATATTGACTACTAGATAATGTGTCTATTGTATTACGAATCTACTGGAAAGGATGGCACGCGTGTATGAATTATATGAAGTTAAATTGAAGGATCGTAGTGTAGCGGATTTATATAGTTAGAATAAATAGTACAAGCAAGAGTCTTGAGCAGACTTCAAACTATCAAAACGCAGCTAGCACACTTATTCCCAATTGAAGATCCGGTCGATATTCTTCACAGTTGCATATACGTCTTCCAAACACAGCTACTGATAGGTCCTCCCTCTGCATGAACAATCCTAATACATATACATACTTCATATAAATATATAGCACAAAACGTGTGACGGTGACATATGTAGCTGTCACCGTAAATGTCACAGACAGTCCACTCGCCAGTCGCCACTCTCCCGAGTCCCCACTCCCCAGCAGCAGTGAGCCATGCAAAATTTGGAGATCTGCTCCGTTCGGCTTTTGTGTTTACTTTGTATTTGGTGTTTTAAAAACCGGGGCTGTTTTTTCGTCCGACGTCAGTATCTCTATCCGAATAGCTGCGAAAGATAATTCAGGTTGTAACTCCAAACGTCGACCCTTCTGGCCACAGACAGTCTCAGCACAGTCTAGGAGGCGAAAATGGTAAGCCTTAACCTCTTGCGATGAGATTGTGGAACATGAGATGCTACTGAAGTAGTTACATTAGCCTGGTTTTGTAAACAAAACGCGGTCGGGTTACCAGCCTTTTCCTAATAATGGTGTTTGCTGTGTGCTTCATACTAACTATGAGCATCGTAGTGAATTAGACATACAACGAGTAGATTCACGTACATCCATAAAACATCTATAAATGAGTATACGGACACTATCCACACATGCGCAAACACATAGGTATACACGGGTACACACTTATACACACATCCAACTGCCGCACAAATGCACATATAGCATTAGTCACACATTCAACCCTGTCGTACTTCATCATCTAATCGGTTTTTATCTCTGGTCTTTTATCATCGACAGAGTAAAGTGCTGAAGCTGTTGCTCAACTCAAACAATGCGAACTCAAATGCGGTTTCCATTGATTTAGATGATCTGGATCGGCGACTGAAACACGGGGCCGACCAAATACCCGTATACACAGACGGCGAACCAGTGAAAGGCACAGTCACAGTGCATGCGAAACCGGGAAAGACCATCGACCACTATGGCATACGAGTGGAGTTTGTAGGAGAGTGTGGTATGTAGGTTTATGTTTGGAATGAGGTTTCTCATTCTGTATGGATGGGTATTTATTTCTGGATACATCTGAATTCAGATCAGATGGGAAACCGTCAGCATTGCTGCATAGAAAAATAGTATATGCATGTATATATATACGTGTCTTACAACCTTCCACGATCGATTCTATTTGTGGTCGTTAAGAGAAAGTGTGTGCTCATTCGTATGTTTTGTGTATACATACAAGCAAACATTCATAATCGCACTACGAATTATGTTTTCTTATATATATATACACACACACACACACACACACACACACACACACACACACACACACACACACACACACACACACAC